TATATATATATATATAGACTGCAAAAAATAAATTAAAAATTTTAATTAATATTTCAATACTCGCGGAGATATATTAACATAACCGAATACAACTGCAACAGTATATCTCTCATAGATAATTCGCGATTCGCACAGAACACAGTATGGCACGACATATTGCGCAAAACAAAGTATATAAAAGAAACACAAGCGCCATTGCATTTCAATGAAAGCTGACTTTGCCCGCATTGGCGTGCTGGACGCGCGCTTCCGGATTGGAACACCCAAGTTGATTTGTTTTTCCCGACTTCGCCGGGATAGACGTTAAGTGTACTCAACGTCTTATCGTGCACCGCGGTTTACGTGCTATATTTCATGCAGCAGGCAACTTTTAGCGTTCTTCTTTCGTATTTACTCAACCGGTTTGAGAAAGGCACAATAGAAAGAAGTTATATCCAAAGATTTATAAAGTCGGTACAGTTCATTGAGATACGCGAAATAACTCGGAGTGCCGAAAAGTGAACGAAAGTAATTGCTTACGTTTCGAGAATTTATTTGCCAGCAGTCAAAATATCCGATTTCAATATTACATGAACGAGAGCATTTATTTATGAGTCCATTATATGCGAATTAAGCTCCCTGAGATATTAATGAACAAGGTACATTTAGTTGTCAGTTAATAATTAATAGATTTTACTTACTAAAAAACCTTTGTAATTTTTATCGTTCCCCTAAAAGTTTACATTTTTGAGACGCAAGAAATTAATGTTAAAAAGTCCATCTTTGTGTTTCTTTTGATATTTTTAGTTTGAAAAGAGATCTCTTTCAAAATAATAAATCTCTCGCGAATAGTAAATCTCCATCTGTATTAACGTTCAAAAGTTTTGTGCTAAGCAAGGCCGCAAATATACTGTCGGTAAAGATCGCTGTCAGTGCAAAATTTTTGCGCGGGAACCGAAAAATAAACATCGCCCTGAGGCGGAGTAACCAGGCGACGCATAAAGGAGAATGCAGAAAAACGCATACGAAGAGTATGCCAACCACATATCCGCACTTATACACAAGCACATCGCACGTTGAGCGGACGTGCCATTTCACAAGAGATAACAGTTGACCGTGTTCTTTTCATTCTACTCGGTGGTTGGATATTAAAAACAGGAAGAGTGCGGAGCAAAACTATATGAAGCAAGGGTTTATTTAACCGGGCTCTCGAACAATACTGAAGAGCATCAACTGGCGATTACTTTGCCTTGCGACGCGTCGCGAAAACGTGCGCATTTCGTCGCGGAGACAAATGTAGCCGATAAAACGAGCGACGCATCTGTCTAGCGAAGGAAAAATGAAGACGTAAAACGGAAACTTTTAGGGCAAATGCATATTCATATAACGATGCGACCGGCGGATCCAAGCGGCACGAATTAATATGCATAAATCCTGCCATTACTGTCGACTCGGGCAGCTTAGAACGTCTCGTTCCGCAATTTATTCGTGACCCCAACCACTTGCCGAAGATTCTTAAGAACAGTGACACTACCTATAACGTTTAAATCTGAGAATAACCGGGATAAAAAATGCAAAGAAATTTTTAGTTGTAGCAGGCTACGTGTCACATTCCTTTATGTTGTATAATATAATAATTAACATTAATATTAATAATTAACTAAATAATAATTAACATTAAATGATTTTTACTTAATGCTACAAAATAGATAAACCACTACTTAGAATAAGTCAACAAGACATGAGAAAGAAAAAAATAATTTTTAAGAAAATTTGATATTTTAAGAAACGTATTTAAAAGCGCGAACAAATTTCGATAAAAATATTTTGATCTTTTTATATAATATAAAAATGAAATCGCAAAATATTCTTTGTGTATTGATGTATATGTAATGAAACAAATTCTAAAATTGAAATAATAAATGTCCAATATCGAATGCAATTATAGTTTTTAGGAAAAGGTTATATGAGATGTAAAAATGGAGAACATTGAAAACAGTAAAAGTTTGCGTTTTCGACTATACGTTACGGAAAAATTTTTCTCTCGTATGTTATCGCTCCTAAATGTATCCGGCACATTCCTAAAAAACTTCATCAGTCAGAACTTTTGTGAGAATTTAATTATACGCGCGAAATTGAAAGGCTTTATGCAAGGTAGGATCACGTTTGCCAAAAAATTCATGAACATCTCGCTTTTTCAGGAAAGAACGCATAAAATTGCACTATAAAAAGATCTGTTATTTTTTATAATCGCCAAGTTAAAGCGAACAATCCTCTCTTCATATTTTATTTCATATTAAAAAAAAAAATATGGTATATAAAATTTATTAAAAAATAGCACAATTGTTTTTGCCGTTGAAAACATTTGAATACTTAGTATCCGAGTTTGTAATATTGATAGTATATACAATAATATATCAATAAATCAATCTATCAATAGGAAATCGTATATTTGATGCCTATCGGAAAATAATTGTATCTTCGATGGTTTTAAATCTCTTTGATAGCTCTCTCTTTTTATAAATCTCTTTTTATAAAATATCTTATTTAATATATATAACACGGTTTATAATTCAAATGAAGCAGTCATATTTTATAAACGCAATAGCGAAATGATCAGCGATCATACCGATAATATTTATATATAATATAATATAATAACGAATAAACACTATTTATTGAAATGTATACGGGAATATAGCGTGAAAAATAAAAAGTAAAATTTTCCAAGATTCGCGTGGGCGGACTTTAATTCTTCACGTCAATAGAAAATCCGACTTCAAAGGATTAAACGTTGAGAAAGGGATTGCAAGGTACTTACCGAGCACAACCAACTTCACCGGTCTGCCGAAGAGGATCTTTCCCCGGTCGTCCTCCAATGTGCAGCTCCACACACCGTCGTCCTCTAATCTGACATTGTCTATGTGCAACGCGGCGGTCGTGGAGTCGCCGATGTATCGGTGTCCGGTTCCGCTCATTTCTGTTCTCGTATCTATCGTGATCATGTCCACTGGGTTATCCTCGTGCAGCCACGTTGCCGGTCGTATTCTGTAACTTCTGACAAGAGGCGCAACGTCCGCATTACTTCACTTTATGCAACAAACTTCGACACAGTCGGTCTTCGGGCAACGAAGGGACTTGAACTATTATCGCGGAGAGAGACTTTGTTTCCGTAGAGGGATTTTCACCGTGATGTTATTCGACATGGAAGTTACTATTACAAATTGAAACCGGATATTAATATAAAAGAAAAATACAAAGGAATATTTTGTTAAACATGTAGATATATACATATATATATATATATACATATATATCTGACAAAGATATGGAAACGTAATTTAGAAACTATAGATAACGAGAAAGAGAATATTATTGATATATTTTATCTCACCCGTTTTCATATTTGAAATTAAAACACGATGTGTTTTACATTCAAATATAATATTTCAGAATATTGAATATATATACTTGATATTTCAAATAATTGACTTAAAATTAATTAATCATCTGTCAATAATTCTCGGCAATCGATTAAGTATAAACTCGCGTGTTACCTCGCTCCTGGCAGCAATAATCTCGAGTAATTTCCTTCCAGTTCGCAGGGCAAAATGACTTTACTATGAGGCTTCACCACAAGCTCCAGAGGCGGATTGGATGACGTGTCGGCTACGTCTGAGGATAGCAGAACATTGGTAGTGGTGGAGGAACTGGTAGACCATGACTCCTCCTCGGGGGCCAAAAGAGCAGCGGGCTGGGCCACTTCATCAGGCAGAGATATCACTGTCGAGCTGGGTGTCGTTGTGCTCGTTGTGCTAGTGGTAGTCTTCCTAGAGCGCCGACTACCTTCCTGCCTACCTCGCAACGCAAAAACGCCAGCCTCGTTCACGGAACCTGTAACAACGTGGTATAATGACGTCAGTCTTTCTATCATTAAAGAAAGTTGCCGTGATTTCGTTTCTCGCTAGTGTCTTGCATTGTTTACAGCGCATGGTTTAATCGCATTTTTGTTATTATCAACGTTTTCGATGTGTTCCAATTTTTAAATATTTCTAAATAAACTATCGCGTGACTTTTCGCAAGAAATCGCTTTAACTGCGAGACCTCGACTATTATCGATTCTTACCATCGCTGTAATGTTTTATATGCTAAACCCCGATCGATTAATTAAACAGACAAGTAAATTAATAAGAACGCATAATGTTCTTGTGTATGTCAAGTTACATAATTAAATAGTTAAGTAATTATATAAGCGCTTGTCTCTCTCTCTCTCTCTCTCTCTTTCACAAAGTTTACCGCTCTTTCTAAAGAAGAGAAATGTTCCCCGAAGCTTAACCCATGTAGAAGCTGTGTCTAAATAAACGCAATGTATTATCTTCCGCACTGAGCAAATTTTCCGTCTTCAACCTCTGGTGGAGGGAGACGCGCGTTACATCCGCCCGAATTCAAAGGGCGGCTAAATTTTCTCGTCGCCTTTTACGGCGCGGAACAACAGACGAAATTAGTCGTCCGCCTCTTCGTGCCCCTGCCACGCTTTATCGAGAGGTAAATATTCTGAAGGCTGAAGCTTGATCGAGTTAGCGCAGCCTTGGGAATTCGATAAAGCCACGACAAGAACGTCGTTGCGAAGGGCATTTTCTAGTCTGCGCGGCGCGCGGGCGGGCAAACCTCATCCCTTTCCGCACGCTCGGTCGCCCTCACCTAAAACTGCCTGCCTATCGAGCTTGGTCGACCGAGACTTCACGAGGAAAACTAATTATGGTTCCGATGAGCCGCAAATAGCTGCAACTACCTAACCTAACGTAGCTAAGAGCTCTCTTTCCGGGATCCGCCTGCTTTCTCATCTCGTTGCCGCGAGTTCCGCAATCCCTCTGTAGCAAACCAGTAGTTGAGGGTGACCGACAGTCCAACTTGTTTGCATGCCATGAGCTAGTTCTACGGCTATTTCATTAACGTTCTCTCTTGACTAACGGCTACAGCATACATTCCTCTATTCTTTTAAATCTTTTTCTTAACGCTACAATTTTTTGTTTCTTTAGGCGAAAACTATTGTATTTAGGTAATTTAATGAGTATCTTATAATTTTTAATCTTTTAATTTTTGTATGGAGAGAATTTAATTTCTTTTTCTTTTAAGTTAATTGGTACTAATCGTAGTCTCCTTAAAAGTATAAAATATAATAGAAGCAATGACAAATAAAAATAATGTATAAAAATTAGAGGAAGAGAGAGAGAAGAAAATAATTAGTAATCACGTTATAAAAATATATTAATACAATGTATATCACATTTGATTATAAATTTTAATCTGTTATGACTTATATTATCATACAAATAATTTAATTCCAAAAATATTGTAAACAAGCATTCTGAATAATTAAACAATTCTGTGTCTAATATTTCTCGTTTATACTTGAGCAATTCTGTTTAATCAACACGCAATATAAATATGCAAGTTAGAAGGAAGGTATTAGTGAGGAATATGTAAATGTGTTTTACATAAGTAACAGGACTCCGATTCTACTTTTACCAACCTTCGCAAAGCCTTCGCGAAGCTGCAGATTCCGTAAAAGACGGGCTGACAACCGAAGTTCTTCGTATTTCTCGAGAACTATTAAATTGAAGTTCTTCGGAAGTACGAAGAAGCGTACAACCCTAGTAAAACTTCGTGAAACAGCGTTATGACGAAAGAATGCACAAACATGCTTATAATATATATTATTTTTATCGTGATTAAACGATCGTTAATTTATTACCGTAATAACTATAATTCAATATTCGTGATAAAACGTAAAACTATATTTTATTAGTAAACGTAAAAACTGAGACCAGAATAAAATTTTAAAATAATTAAATTTTAATAATTGCAATATAGCAATTACGAATAATTTTAAATACTTAGTTTCAAACATAATTTAATTCTAAAAACAAGTTTATTTGTTATATATAATTATATGATTACTCGATTTTCGTTGATGTTAATAATCAATGCAATGCAATATTATTTAAATAGTTTGTAATTTAATAAAATTTCAATTTTAATAAGCGATAAAAGTATATAATTAAACTATGTATTTGCCATTTTATTACTTGTTAAAGAATAGAGATGAGAGAAAAAGAGCGGAATGTTTAAAAGAATTTATATAAATTATAATTTAATTAATGACGCGCTTTTCGCACGTACGCACTTACACGTATGCAGAAATTTAGCGATCAAAGGATGAAAGCAACTGTTCCAAATCGATACTCAAAATCGAACGTTTGTCGAGAACGGGCACAAAAATATAATACAATTTAGCTTTAGTCGCATGAAATGCAAAGGACTTGTCTAAAAAATCTATGGACCTGTGATCACGTAGCGATATCATGGCGCCGGCCAATAGCAAATGTGGTCTCTGTGTTCATCAACGTTCCCAATAGTATAGCCGACTAGTTATACACCGCTATCGAGTGAATGTTGTTCGACGTTGATGCATGCATTATTCAGGCGGTGTATCTCCATTCATTATTCATGTCATGATCAATGGATGTCAACAGACCGCGATCTGTATCTGAGCACGTCGCTATGGCAGAAAGTGAAAACGGACGCTAAGCGAAATATACAGGCCAGGCTCAAAGGAACGTTGCGAGAGCAACGCGAACATAACGAATTTACGGCGCCGCGTATCTACGTCGGCGACACAACATAATGAACCCTTAGTTACAATAGAATTGACACGTGCTTAGGGAACTTGTTATCATAGCGTAATTGTACCGCTCGAAAGCTAATTGCCACTTTCAAAATAGACTCTCTTCTATTAATATATACAGGTAAATCATGCCTAAGTACTCTTGACTCTTGCTCAGATCTATTTAAACTCACTAACATTAATGACGACACATTTTTTTTATCTACACTCGGATGATTCTTTTTTTATATACGACTAACGCTTTTATATTTATCGGAATTCATGGCGAATTTAATAATTATTAAAAGAGATTAATTAAATCGCGCTTTTCTATGTACAATGCACGCGATTCACAACAATGCAAGATGGTAAAACGGTTAAGAGGATTTGTCACCTTGTATTACCGGATAAACTCCTTTTCCTCTATACGTGATGTTCTCCTCGCTGCGAAATTTCCTCCTACATTCGCCATCGCTGTACCTTCGTCACTCTCTGCGTATGCGTCGAGCATCAAAGGTGAAACACATAGCGCGAGAGTCCGCCATAGGAATTCCGATAATTTGGAAAGAGGAGCAAGTAAACTCCGAGTAGAGAAACATTGTCTTGAATCCCGGTAGCGTTAGATTTGTCGAACATTTCGGACACGAAGAACCTTGCAATTTCACGTCGCGAAATACTAAGCGCCACATGAGCCAAGTTTCGCAAGAATTGCGCTCTGCATTTCGACTATCATCTATTTTACGTTATCACCGCTAATTTTCCACTTTCTTGGCTTACCTCGGTCGCAATTAGAATTTTAAACAGTTTCTCCCTCGACCAAATACTTCGAGCGCGAGGGTTCTTTCTCTCTTTCTCTTTTTTGAACGAGTGCCGTTACGATCTTATAAAGAGCACGTGCATAAAAGTTTTTAGTTTCCGTATCTTACGCTATACACGTACAATAAAATGGATATAAAATAATATTCACGTGTATTTAAAATGTCTACACATACATAATATGATAATTGCGATTTCTTGTAAAAGGTACAATCGATGAAAAAAAAATCATTGATCACGAATTAATTTGGCCTCGCTATTTTGGATACTCGCGCAATTTTGTAATTAGGTCAACGGAGAATTCCATCTCACGCGTTTCGTTACAATATATCGGAATATAAACGAAAATAATATCAGCGTGTAACTAAAGCGCGCGGCAACGATAAATAAAAAACGGAATATATCCATAAATGGCAAGAAAAAAAAATTAATTTATGTTTCGCTATATTTTATTATGCATTTTTCGCTCCACGTCACCGATCGTTCGCCACGTCACACTCTCTACATTTGTTCGACCGTAGTCATCTTCCTTGCGTAGCCCGGGGACCTAGGGTCTCAGAACATATCAACGAGACCCGTCTCATCCGCCGTATTCGGATCCGAGGGGCGAGCAGTATCCGTCGTTCCCCGAAAAGTTTCGAGAATATTAGTAGAGTTTTGCATGCCGTCGAGCACGCGGAGAGCAGTCATAGCACACACAGAGAAAAGACATGTACGGGGATACTCTCTGTGTCGCGGCAGAGATGCCGAGGTGACCTTGCTTCGTGTATACAAAGCGGCAAAGATCAGAGGCGTGCCTGGGGCACGTAGAGACGACGAGAGCGAGAGAGCAATGGAGCGAACAAGCGCGGAACGAGGGGAGCGGGGGGG